ATCCCCCTAACTGCCCTCCCCTGCCAGACTGATCCCCCTAATTGCCCTCCCCTGCCGGCCTGGTCCCCCTAAATGCCCTCCCCTGCTGACCTGATCCACCTAAATGCCCACCCCTATCGGCTTGATCCCTATAACTGCCCTCCCCTACCAGCCTGCTCACCCCTAACTGTCCTCCCCTGCCAGCTTGGTTACCCCTAACTGCCCTCCCTTGCAGGTCTGATCCCAACTGCCTCCCCTGCCGGCCTGGTTGCCCCTAACTGCCCTCTCCTGCCGGCCTGATGCCACTAAATCCACACCAGTGGTGGCCTGATCTGCCTAAATGCCCACCCCTGCAAGCCTGATCCCCATAACTTCCCTCCCCTGCTGGGATGGTAGCCCCTAACTGCCTTCCCCTGCTGCCCTGGTGGCCCCTAACTGCTCTCCCTGGCCCATCTGGTTGCCCCAAACCACCTTTGCCTCGTCTCCCGCCACTGCACTGTGGCTTTGTCCAGAAGGACGTCTGGATGGTTGTCCGGAAGATATCCAGTCTAATTTAGCATATCCTTTTATTAGCATAGATAAACCAGCAGTTGGACATCCTCTCCCAGTCCGGGACCTCTGGCTCCTAACTCCTTACCTGCCTGCCTGATTCCCCTAACTGCTCTCCCCTACCAGCTTGGTCGCCCGTAACTGCCCTCCCCTCCAGCTTGGTTCCCTGTAACCGCCTCTGCCTCAGCCCCTGCCACCATGGCTTTGTCAAAAAAGATGTCCGGCCCTGGCCAGTTTGGCTCAGTGGATAGAGCATCGGCCTGCGGACTCAAGGGTCCCAGGTTCGATTCCGGTCAAGGGCATGTACCTTGGCTGCGGGCACATCCCCAGTAGGAGGTGTGCAGGAGGCAGCTGATCGATGTTTCTCTCTCATCAATGTTTCTAACTCTCTATCTCTCTCCCTTCCTCTCTGTAAAAAATCAATAAAATATATTAAAAAAAAAAAAAAAAGATGTACGGATGATCTTCCCGAAGATGTCAGGTCTAATTAGCATATTACCCTTTTATTAGTATAGATTCCCAAACCTTATAAACTGGTGATTTATAAGTCTGATTCAATCTGTATAACAAAAAAAATCAGCTGTTAAATATATGAAGCCATGCTTAGGCGGCACGATCACTGGTTGCAATTGGACTTATGAACCAGGAGGTTATGGTTAGATTCCTAGTCAGGGCTTATGTCAAGGTTTCAGGTTTGATCCCCTGTGAGGAGCCTGCAGGAGGCAGGTGATCAATGATTGTGTCTCCTCATTGATGATTTTCTCTATCTCCCTATCCCTGTGAATCTGATATCAATAAAAATATACTTTAGCCCGGCTGTGGTGGCTCAGTGGGTTGAGCATCGCCCCATGGACCAAGAGGTCCTGGGTTCGATTCCCAGTCAGGGCACATACCTGGGTTGCAGGCTTGATCCCCAGTAGGGGTGTGCAGGAGGCAACCGATCAATGAGTCTCTCTCATCATTGATGTTTCTATCTCTCTCTCCCTCTCCCTTCCTCTCTGAAATCAATAAAAATATTTAAAAAAAAATATATATATATACTTTAAAATTTATATCTACATATATTTATATGTGTGTGTGCCACAAGATGATATATCACAACTTAATCATCCACATCCCATCAGCTCACCACTTGCCCGGATCAGGGTTCCCCTCCTCCCACTACATGTATTTCTGTCTGTGGATCTGTCTCTGTCTCTGTCTCCCTGTTCCCTTTCTCTCCACTGTGGTCCTTTCCTGTGTCCCCTCTCTCCTGCTCTCTCCCCCCTTTTCTCTCTGTCTGTCCTACACCTGGACCATGAAACTCCTGAAACCTCCTTCCCTTCAGGGGTTCTTTCTCCTGGTCTCTGAGGCTCCATCTCCACACACGTCTGCGTCTTCCCCTCCCCACGCCCGCGGCCCCTCTGCTGCCTGTTCCCGTCTGTCCCGCTCCCACAGCTGCTGACTCAGGGCTGCTCCCTCTGCTCCCTCATCCCTGAGCCCCCCTTTCTGTCCCTGCACTCGCTCCCCAACTCTTCTCCTCTGAACCAGTGTCTCTGTCTCAAGAGCCTCCTCCTGTGCGGCCCCCACTTCTGCTCCCCAGGACCCGCTCCCTCTCAGCCCCCCTTCCTCTCTCTGGGCTCCCCCTCCTCCCTGTGTCTCCACTTCCTTCCTCCTCAGGCCACTTTCCCGAGTGACCCCCTCACTCCTACGGTCGCTGTCCAGTCCCCCCCACACCCCTATGGGCCCCTCTCTGTGGACCCCTCGCTGCCCTTCCTCCCGCCCACGTGTCTGTCTCTCACTCCCTCTCCTGACCCCCCAGCCTGGGCCCCCGCCCCCCGCAGTCACCGCGCCCACAAAGCCCCTCCCTGCGGGCAGGTCACCTCTTCAGGGGACACCGCGTCCTCCCCCTGAGCCCCCCCATGGACACTGTGCTCCCCGGGCAGGCAGACCCCTTATTAAATGGGGGTGGGCCTAGGAGGGGGATGCAGACCCCCAGGCCGGGAGCCATCCGGGCTCTTTGGGCGGAAAGCGCCGGGCGGGGGAAGGGGCGCAAAGGGCGGGAACCCCCTGACCCAGACTCTCAGCCCCGCGGGGAGGACCGGCGGCCCCGGGAACGGTTTTCAGCGGGAAAACCGCGCGGCAGGCGGTGGCCACAGCCACAGGCGGAGAGACCCCGGGCCGGGGCCTCCGTTTCCTCCCAAAGGAACGTGGCGCCCGCACCGCGCAGCCTCCCGGGACGCGGACTCACGGCTGAGAGAGGCTCCGGGGCGGGGACCCCAACACGGACTTCAGCGCCGGCAGCGCCCTCAGCCTTCCCTGCGGGGAGGGGGACGGGGAGCGTCAGCTTTAAAGAGAAACACCCTCCTCAGGGGGAACCGCCACCTTCCCCTCCACAGCCGCTTCCGCGTCTGCAAGGAACTGCGCATGCGCCTCCCCAGGGGGTGGGCGGGGCAGCGCTGGATGGACAGAAAGGGCCAGGTGGTTTTTTGATGTCACAAGGCACCCCAGATAGAGGGGCTGTTCCTTTATTGGGGTGCCAGCGAGTGAATGGCAGCTGTGGCAAAAGCATGCAGAGGGAGGAGGAACCTGGAATTCACACAGAAGTTTCCCAGATCCCAGAGGCTGTGCTTAGAGCTATGGCTGGTCTGCCCTTCAGCTGCAGGTGTCCCAGGGAGGGGTCTTTCCCGGGATCTTCACAAGCCGGGAACACATTCTTACAGTGAAGTTACAGGGAACTCAAAAGGCGGGCAGATTGGGTTTGAAACCAGAACTTTCTACCTATGATTTGCCTGGATCCTTAAACCCTCAGTGAGGAGGGGGGAGGGGAAGGGCAGCCTGCTCTCTCAGCCCCTCCCTGTCTCCCCAACTGAAGGGAGAGGCAGCTTGAGTTAGGGAAGCAGGAGGGTGGGGGTGTCAGAGACAGACCCAGATATCCATTCATGTTGGGCACTTGATGAGATAGTCCCATCCATCATAGTGGGCAACAAGTTTATGTATTTTTCAAGGGATAAAAATTTTCTAGTTGTAAGTTGTGGTCTTTGAAATCTTTGTGTTCTGGGAATGCATTTTTAAATGAATATTTTGACTTTAGTAGTACCTATAGCCTAGTTAATGGGACATTGATATCAATGTAGAATGTATCCTGTTAGTTTTCCTATTATTTGGGAAACAAAACAATTGAAAATCAATATTTAAAAGAGTTATAAGAATAATAACTATTATCATTTTACTTAGACCCATCACCATTTTTATTTTTATTATTTTCCAGTATTTTCATGAATATAGGTATTCATTTCAGTATTATAAATCTTTATTTACTTTAAAGATATGACCTGTTTAGAAACCTGTAATTTAGAGTAAGCCAGACCAGAGGATTATGTTTAACTTATATAAATATTTAATTGGTTTAGGCCAATAAAATATCACCTCTTAGTATTGCCACCTGAAGCCAGAAAACACACCACATATAATAAACAGTTAAACACATAAAGACAATCCATTCTACAAAGATAGTGAAAGACTTACACACTGAAAATGACACAGCAATGCAAAAGGAAGCAGATACAAATAAACTGAAATACATTCCTTTATATGTCCAAGTGGCCACACAATAAATAGATTGCCTATGGAAATTCCAAGGCAATTTTGACTGTAATTTAAGCAAAAGAGATTCCGGAGAGGCTAAATAATTCAAATATAGGAAAGTGGGATATTCATGTTTTTACACTGAAAAACATTTTACAAAGCAAGGGTAAGCAAGTGGCTGTGATCCTGGAATAACACAGATCCATACACCAATGGAACAGAGAAGAATGCCCGATGAACCCTGATGAAGCCTTACCTGCATCCAATAGGAGCCTTCTCTGTGCCAGAGGATACAATCCAAAGGGGCAAATGCAACCTCCAGAAATGATGTGGTAAAAGTGATCTCCAACTTTCCAACATGTCTGTGGATTTCCTCCTAAAAATTGATAATGAAATGAAACACCCTCTGGCAGTTATGTCTGCTTGTCAACATTCCTCTCCATTCCCAATGGTGAAGTTTGGAAGTCAGTGACTCACACAATTAGCTTCAAATATATTATGAAAGCACTCAGAAAGATTTCCACATGTGTTGGAAACTACAGTTGAAAAGGATTACATCAGGAAGTAATTTACCTTCCCCCGCCCCATCCCACCCCCATCTCCTGCTTACCCTGGGCCAAGCAGGCACATATTGGTAGTGAGGCTGAAGCAACTCTGTAGCAACTGGGATCTCAGGGAGGGGCTGGAAGTGAGGAGGGGCTTGAACCCAGGAACATGACTGCAATTGGAATTCATGTAAGCACTTTAATGAAACAAAAAATTGCAAATATGTGTTTGAGGATGAACTAGAATGTGAAAAAAAACTCTCCATGGGTAGACAGGCAATTTCATACTGACACCAGCAGCCTTTTCCTGCTCCCTGCCTCAATCCCCAGGGAGACCATGACTCAACATGGCTGAGTTCCAGAGCCTTTCAGGCACAGGATCTCGGATATGAGAATTCAATGGCAAGGACATATGATCATTTAGGACAATAGCATTGCTTAAAAATAAACCTTTTAAAAATATTGTTATAAACTGCATTACTAAAACAAATGTTGTGTCCGACACTTAAATTACCTTGAAGTTCTATTTTTCACTACAAACCTTTTATTATTTCATGTATTACCTGTTCCAAAATTAAACAGGTCCTATATAATAAAGAGCAAACATGCTAATTAGCCCAAACATCAGAATGACCCACCAGATGAAGCTGGGGCTGAAAGGGCTGGGGGGCGGGGGCGCTGTGAGAGTCTGTGAGGGCCTGCGAGGGCCAGCCTTAGCACCCAGGGCTGTGAAGGCCAAGCCCTTTGCATGAATTTTGTGCATCAGGCCTCTAGTCTATATCCTATCTAATAATAGACAAACATGGTAATTAACCGTACCTCCGACACGCTTCCCATTAGCTAATCAGGGCGATATGCAAATTAACTGCCAACCAAGATGCGGCCGGCAGCCAGGCAGCTGCAGTGAACAGGAGGCTTGTTTGTTCCAGTGATGGAGAAAGCCAAGGTTCCCCACATGCCGTTGCTGGCCTCTGAGCTGCACTCTAAGAAACAATGTTGCAATTGTAGAACCTAAAGAAACCCCAGAAACCTGCTTTCAGCCAGCCGGGCCTCAGACCTGGAGCTGCAACAGTGTTTCAATTATTGAAGCCAAACAAACGCAGATACCTGCTTTCAGCAGCCGAGTTCTCAGAGCTGGAGCTGAGCCTCAGAGCTAAAGCCGGCTCTCAGTTCCAGTGACAGCCATAGAAGGTAAATAAATCCCAGAATAAAAAAAAAAAAAAAAAAAAGGAGAGGCTGGGAGCTTCAGTCACCCGCCAGCCTGAAAACGGCCCTCAGTCCCTCAGACTGGCCAGGCACCACAGTGGGGACCCCCACCCTGAAGGGGGTGTGACCAACTGCAAACAGCCATCAGCCCATCATCCAGGCTGTGATAAATGTGATAAATACCAAGAACTTACAACCAAGATTACTTTATCCAGCAAAGCTATAATTCAGAATTGAAGGTCAGATAAAGAGCTTCACAGGTAAGAAAAAGCTAAAGGAGTTCATCACCACTAAACCAGTATCATATGAAATGCTGAAAGGTATCCTTTAAGAAGAGGAACAAGAAGAAAAAGGTACAGATACAAACTATGAACAACAAATACACATCTATCAACAAGTGAATCTAAAAATCAAGTGAATATGCCGAAACCGTCCGCCTGCGGACTGAAAGGTCCCAGGTTCGATTCCAGTCAAGGGCATGTACCTTGGTTGCAGGCACATCCCCAGTAGGAGATGTGCAGGAGGCGGCTGATCGATGTTTCTCTCTCATCGATGTTTCTAACTCTCTATCTCTCTCCCTTCCTCTCTGTAAAATATCAATAAAATATATTTTAAAAAAAAATAAAAAAATAAAAATCAAGTGAATAGACAGCTGATTCCTACAGCCAGTCGGCCTGGTGGTCAAATCCCTCTAGTGTTAACTACAACAATTAAGGCTTGGCTAGAACAAAGACCAGAAGGGGGTGCACCAAGAAAGCATAAAAGATGCGGAGACAAAAAAAACATGACAGAAATGGAGGATATAGAGCTAAAAAACGGGAAGAGAATGGACAAAAATCGTGCACCTATGGATGAGGACAGTGGGTGGGGAGTGACGGCGGAGGGTGGGGCGGGAACTGGGAGAAGGGGAGTTATGGGAAAAAAAGAGGAACAAATGTAATCAGAACAATAAAGATTTAATTTAAAAAAAATAAAAATAAATAAAAATCAAGTGAATAAATAATCTGATGAACAGAATAAACGTAATTATAATAGAATCAGGGGCATAGAAAGGGAGTGGACTGCCTATTCTTGGGGGGGAAAGGGGTGTGGGGGATGCAGGAAGAGACTGAACAAAAATCGTGCACCTATGGATGAGCACAGTGGGGGAGGGGGTGGGAACTGGATGGAGGGGAGCTATAGGGGGAAAAAGAGGAACAACTGTAATAATCTGAACAATAAAGATTTAATTTAAAAAAAACTATTTACATGGGTTAATTCCATCCCAATAAAGAAGGTAAGGGGCTAACAATGAGAAATCCTTAAGGTTTCCAATGAAAAACAGGACAAGAAAAATCATTCCAATTACAAAGTACACAGATGCCAATTTGTGGTATTCCGAAAATTCATATTCATATTAAAAACTATAGGTGTCAGCATGAGAACGTGAATGGTGGGCTACCTACCTCATGAAAATAAAGAAAAATATTCACCAAATTCTACTGTCAGTCATTGTATTTTTAAATTCAAAACTACTGAGTGCAAGTTACAGGGCTTTGAAGGGCTGATGTGGGATAGGAAGAGCTTTACATGCTGTGGTCATAGCACTGCAAAAGGAATGGCAGCTTAGAAGACAAAGTGAAAAGGAAAGAAGACAGAGAGGAACAGGAAATGAGAAATGAAAGAAATGGAATTAATGTTTCTGAGTTCAGCCAGCAGTGTACACTGGACACTGGGAAAAGTGTCCTCTCTCCACATGCAGCGTTCATGCCAATTCTGCATCCTGGGTACAACAATGTCACTGCAATATCCCTCTTAATCGTAGAAAATCTATTACACAGACAGCACTGTCCTGAGTGTAGTTCCAATCACCGAAATGTGACAACCACAGATTGACATGCCCTCAAAAAGTTTTCACCTGAACACACTGGCAAAGAAAAGGAAGTATCCTTGATGACATCATTTACAAAACTTGAGAACTATTTTTAAAAATTTATTCAACAGTATTATTCTCTAATAGAAGAAAATAATGCGCAGTACAATGTACCCAATATTCTACTGGAATGTGTACACAAGTGAAGTGCATATAATATACAACAGCTCACAGATCTTTAAGACAGAAACAATCAACCCCATGACTTCACTGACACACACCAGATATAAAACATACCAGCATCAAGTGGTATGGGAGTAGAATCACATTAACATTTCCTTTTCAAAATACTTCAAATGATTTCAATATAAATGAGATAACACTCTAAGTAATTGTACATATGGAAACATCAACTCTTTTGATATATTCAAGTATACAAACATTACCTAACAACATTTAAAGTTTGGAGTACACTGTGCGTACTGATTTAGGGCAATACCTGAAAGGCATTTTGGCTATTGATCTAGTGTGAATTCAGTGAGACTTTAAAATTCATAATCAATTAAATACTTGGATAAACTTTTACATCTTAAAAGCCACTTTAAGGCATAAATTCCTTGTAGATTTGTAAACTGTATATTTTAAAGAAAAGTCATTCCTCCTATATTAAAAAAAAACGTGGAATTTCTACCCAATTATAATCCCTGATAAGACTGGGGCTGTAGGTTCAATTATATGATTTCCCACATTTTTCAGTTTTAAGGTTTCCCTCTAGAATAAACTCCAATGTGAGCAATAAGCTACAGATGCTGATTAAAAACTTTAGGACAATGTTTACATTTGTATTGATTCTCTCCAATTTTAATTCGGATGTTGGGTAAGGTATGCATACTGAGTAAGCTTTGTCACATTCTTTATATCTGCTGGGCTTCGATCCAGTAATAATTCCAAGAGGTTCTATGACATGTAAATGAGAATACACACTTTGACATATCCCTCAGAATTTGTAAGACCTTATCATTCTCAATGAAAGCATCATTAAATCTTTGGATAACTTTATATTTTTGTTGTTTCTCTTTAGAATGCTTTGTAAAATGTTAAGTTTGAACACAGATGAAAGGCTTTCTCACATTCTCTACAGTGTACGGCTTCCCTATACTATAAAATCTCTGATGTTCAGTAAATTTTGAGCTGTGGGTAAAGGCACCAGCCTATTCTCTATATTTGTACAGTATCTCTCTGTTCGGAAGTCTCTAAGGTACAGTAATATGTGAATGGCTTTTAAAAGTTTTTTACATTTTTCCCATTCATAAGTCTTCTTTCCAGTATGAATTCTGTGATATTCAGTAAATTTTCACTGCTGTTCAAGGACTTACAACACTACACACATCTGTAAGATGTCTCTCCAGTATGAACTCTATGATGCTTAGTAAGGTTTGAGGATCTGCCAAAGGATTTGCCACATTCTTTACATTTATAAGGCTTCTCTCCAGTATGAACTTTCTGATGCATTGTAAGGTTTGAGGCTCTCCCAAAGGATTTGCCACATTCTCTACATTTATAAGGCTTCTCTCCAGTGTGAACCCTCTGATGCTTAGTAAGTTCTGAGGAGCTGACAAAGGATTTGCCACATTCTGTACATTTATAAGGCTTCTCTCCAGTATGAACTCTCTGATGCGTAGTAAGGTTTGAGGAGCTGCCAAAGGACTTGCCACATTCTATACATTTATAAGGCTTCTCTCCAGTGTGAACTCTCTGATGATAAGCAAGGGTTTCAGATCTGGTAAAGGCTTTGCCACATTCTATACATTTATAAGGCTTCTCTCCAGTGTGAATTCTCTGGTGCTTTGTAAGGTTTGAGGCTCTCCCAAAGGATTTGCCACATTCTCTACATTGATAAGGCTTCTCTCCAGTGTGAACCCTCTGATGCTTAGTAAGTTCTGCAGAGCAGACAAAGGATTTGTCACATTCTGTACATTTATAAGGCTTCTCTCCAATATGAACTCGCTTATGCTTAGTAAGGTTTGAGGAGCCGCCAAAGGACTTGCCACATTCTATACATTTATAAGGTTTCTCTCCAGTATGAACTCTCTGATGCATTGTAAGGTTTGAGGATCTGGTAAAGGCTTTGCCACATTCTATACATTTATAAGGTTTCTCTCCAGTATAAATTCTCTGATTTAAAGTACAATCTGAAGGCCAATGAGATGTTTTACCAAAATCTTTACATGTATAAGGTTTTTCTCGACTGTAGATTTTTTTCAGTCTATTTACATTGAATATTTGACTGAAGACTCTCCCACACAAATTCCATTTATAAGCCTCTTCCCCAGTATGAATATTCTCTTGTTCAGTGTAATTTAATGATTGCTGAAAAGACTGGACACATTTATTTCCATTGTGTGTCTTCTTCACAATAGGAATAACCTGACATATATTGTGATTGGACATTTGGTCAAAGACTTTTCTAATTTTATAATGGTTCTCTGCAAGCTCGATTGTCCGATGATTAAGATATGACTCTTGCTTAAAGTTTTTCCAATGTTTATTCCATTGATATCTGCTGTCTCCATAATATGTACTCTGGTAATAATGGGAGATAGAAAGACCTTTAGTGACAGTTATAAATTCATTAAACATGCACACTTGTTCCATAAGAACCATTTTGTGATACTCATTAAACCAAGATCGTTGTATAAAAAAGAGCTTTCCTAATTTGTTGAAATTATCGACAAATAATAAATACAAAAAATTGCCGAAACCGGTTTGGCTCAGTGGATAGAGCGTCGGCCTGTGGACTGAAAGGTCCCGGGTTCGATTCCGGTCAGGGGCATATGCATGGGCTGCGGGCACATCCCCAGTAGGAGATGTGCAGGAGGCAGCTGATCGATGTTTCTCTCTCGTCGATGTTTCTAGCTTTCTATCTCTCTCCCTTCCTCTCTGTAAAAAATCAATAAAATATATATTTTAAAAAAAAATTAATTGTTAGAGGAAGAATATTAAATCCTTGTTTAAAAGACTGACAAAAATAAAAAGACTGCCAAATTGCCTAGCCAGCATGGATCAGCGGTTGAGCTTCGAGGTATGAACAAGTAGGTAATGGTTCCTTCCCAGTCAGGGCCACATGTCCCAGATGCAGGATCAGTCCACAGTGGGAGGCATGCAGGAGGCAGCCAATGAATAATTCTCTCTCATCATTGATATTTTTGGCTCTCTCCTCCTCTCCCTTACTCTCTGAAATCAATAAAAATATGCTGTTTTTTTTAAATCATAAAATAATGCCAAATTGAGCACAGTTTAATTTTATAGGTACAGTATAAATCTCTACATTTTAGAAATGATTGCATGAAAGTTTAATCCCACCCTACATTTTAAACTACTGAAGTGATTACACTACAGACTATGTGAATTCCTAGTTTATCTAGATTTCCTTTCCAAGAATGCATTAACAGTAAAAATTTGTTTTCGACTTTCATGTACAGAAACACACTGACCTGCCAATGTAACTGACTTTAAACTGGGAGGTTTCCCAAAAGCGTAATGCACTTTACCTCTTTAGGGAAAAAATATTTTATTCTGGTAAGTGTTCCAGATTAGTTCTGTTTATATTAATATCCTCTCTTCTCATCACACTCTTCCCCAAATACCAAGACTTTCATTAAGTGTACATTATAAAGTGACACCTTTTATATCTTACCAGTATTATTTCAGAGAATAAATTTGGTATTCCGGTATTTGGCATAAAGGCCTTGTCATCTTCAGATGACATAGCTGAAAGAAAACACATTTTCAGTTTTCACAATCAGATGAGAGCACTTTGAAGTTACCAGCAACTATAGGCCAAATGACAGTTTTGAGTACTCCAAGAGCCAGTGAAGGATTCAAAGAAAGCTCAAGATAGGTACAATGAAGAAAAGTCTCATCAAAGAGAGACAAAGAGTTGCTTACATTTGCCAATGATAGATGCTCAAACCCCTTGGCACACAATTGGAATATTACAAAAACACTCCCACCTCCCAGTTTCTTTGCTGGAGAGAAAGAGAGATGAGGGAAGTGCATGTTCAATGATTTCCCTGTTTTGAAGCATCTCGAACACCAAGTGCATATTGTGCATGACACAGAGTGCGAACAGAATGGCAGTACACGGTAAGCGCCTTGCAGTTGCTGCTACAAAGAAGCAACGAGGTGTCATCCGCCATTTTGTGTGTAGCAACGTGGCCTCCACATTCTTTGAGTGACTTCTCTGCTTCTGTCTAGAACGCCCCTTGATCACAGGCATGTCTCAAGATAGGTTCCGGAGATGCAGCTGTGGTACCCAAAGTGATGTAAACATTCAAAGCAATCCCTATCAAAGTCCCAGTGAACTTTTGGTGGAAATACAAAAGCTCTTCCTAAATTAATGTATATGTCACAGGACTCCATGTAACCAAATCAATCGTGAAAAGAATGTATGACATTAGCCCTCACCGGTTTGGCTCAGTGGATAGAGCACCAGCCTGCGGACTGACGGGTCCCAGGTTAGATTCCAGGCAAGGGCATATACCATGGTTATGGGCACATCCCCAGTACGGGGTGTGCAGGAGGCAACTGATCAATGTTTCTCTCTCATCAATGTTTCTAACTCTCTATCCTTCTCCTTTCCTCTCTGTAAAAAATCAATAAAATATATTTTAAAAAAAAACAAAAAAGAAAATGTTAATTCTTTAATTCTTCAAAAAGATATACCCCCCCCCCCATATATCCATTACAATAGTGATGATATCGACCTGGAAAAAAAGGACTATTTTCACAATGATGCTCTACCATTTAAAATAAATTAAAAGACTTCATTTGACTTGACATGTAAGGAGACAAAATTTATATCTCAACTCATCTCCTTCAAGGTAAAACTATGTGTTTATTCCAGAAATGACACAATAGCTACAAATAAAACTTCCACATTATTGAATATAAAACTACATTAATTTTATAAACTTCACATTTTTATAAGGCAAATACCTACCCAAGTTTGTATTTCAATCCACTGTATTAAAATGGAAACTCCCCATGTATCAACTCAAACATTAAAAAAAAAAAACAATAATAAATATGGCATTATCAACAGAAAAAAAAAACACAAGAAGCCACAGGCAGAGAAAACATATTTGTAAAAGTTGACATGGCCCAGCTGGCATGGCTCAGAAGTTGAGTGTCAAGCTACAAACCAGGAGATCATGGTTCAATTTCTGGGCAAGGCACATGGCAGCTGATCAATGATTGTCTCTGATCATTGATGTTGCTATCTCTCTCTCCCCCCCTCCATTTCTTTCTGAAATCAATAAAAAAAAAAAGGCCTATAAAATAAAGAGGGAATATGCTAATTGACCACCACTCCCTCACAAAGATGGTGGCACCCACAGCCAATAAGGAGGGAATATACTAATTGACTGCCACGCCCTCAAAGATGTCAGCGCCCCGTTTTCTCATCCCAGCCGGGGCGGCAGGCGCACCTCCCTCCAGAGTCCCCCAGTCCCCTAAGTCCCCCAGGACCGGCCCAAGGCACAGGCAAGCCTTGGATGGCGGCTACTCAGCCGACGCCCGAGTCACAGGCAAGCCTCGATGGCAGCTGCCCAGCCACTCAGGACTGGCCTGAGGTGCAGGCAAGCCTCGGATGGCAGCTGTCCAGCCGCCCAGGGCTGCCCAAGTCTCAGGTAACTGGGGCCGGCCGAGGTTTGCGCTGCTGGTAGTGGCAGCAGCAGAGGTGTAATGGGGACATTGCCTTTCCCCTGATCGCCAGGTTGCCTCCTGCCCCTGAGGGCTCCAGGACTGTGAGAGGGGGCAGGCCATGCTGAGGGTTGCCCCCTCTAGTGCATGAATTTTCATGCACCGGGCCTCTAGTATATTAATAACACAATCAACATGTACAGGACAATTATACAAAACACTCAAAGAAGTCTTCAAATTCAACAATGAAAAAAGAACCAACATGACTAAAAAGGGCCAAAAACCTTATCACACAGCACTACAAAATATATACACATAGAAAATCATGGAGGGTTGGGGGGATAATGGGGGTAGGACACATATGGAATACCTTAATCAATAAAGAAAAAAGAAAGAAAAAAAAATCAGTGTAACAAGAGCCTGCATATGTTATGTCACTAAGGAAATGCACATTAAAACAATGAGAAGTAACAAACAGCACAGGCAAGCAACACTCACCCACCATTGAACAGATCAGAATCCAGAACACTGACCCCTCCAAATGCCTTCGTGATGTGGAGCAACTGGAACTCCCAATCACTGCTGGTGAAAATGTCAAATGCTACAGCCCCTTGGGGAAACAGTCTGCAGGTTTTTATAAAACTAAATATACACTTGCCATGGAATCCAGCAATTGGGCTACTTACTATTAAACCAAAGACTTAAGCCTTTTATCTACACAAAAGCCTACAAGGGGCTGTTTATTCATAATTTACAAAAATTAGAAGCAATGAAGAGGTCCGTCAACAAGTGAATGGATAAATAAACTGAAGGACCTACAATGAAGTCTTATTCACTACTATAAAGAAATAAGCCGAAACCGGTTTGGCTCAGTGGCTAGAGCGTCGGCCTGCGGACTGAAAGGTCCCGGGTTCGATTCCTGTCAAGGGCATGTACCTGGGTTGCGGGGACATCCCCAGTAGGAGATGTGCAGGAGGCAGCTGGTCGATGTTTCTCTCTCATTGATGTTTCTAACTCTCTATCTCTCTCCCTTCCTCTCTGTAAAAAATCAATAAAATATATTAAAAAAAAAAAGAAATAATACATCAAGCCATGAAAAGACATGAGAGAAGCCTAGATACATAGAACTCAGTGAAAGAATCCTATCTGTCTGTACAGGTAGCCCAGTTGCTTAGAGGATCGTACCGCTATACCAAAGTTGTAAGTTTCATTTCTGGTCAGGGCATGTACAAAAAAATCAACTAATGCTCAGCTGAAGTTTCTCTCTCTCCAACTCTCCCTTCTTCCCTGAAATCAACAAGATCTTAAAAAAAATAAAAAAATAAAAGAAAATGGAGTGTGAATTTTGATAGAGGCTTTCCCATTTCCAACCCAGGTTGTTCTCTGGCCAGAAGACACGGTAGAATCTTAGAATATTCTAGAAAATGATTTTCTAAAATATTAGTTTCTGATAGTACTTTAACTCGTCAAGACAACACATAGTGTGCAAACGCTGAGTTCCAAATTCACATACATCACAAAGCCTTTCTTTTCTACAAAGAACCCCCAATTTGTTCCTCTTTAAAAAAAATTTGTTTTTATTGCTTTCAGAGAGGGAGAGGGAGAGAGAAATAGAAATATCAGTGATGAGAAAGAATCACTGATATGTTGCCTCCTGCACGCCCCTTAATGGGGAGCAAGAAAGCAACCCAGGCATTGGCCGTTCACCAGCATCCAACCTGGGACCTTTCAGCCCCCAGGCCACTGAGCCTATCCACTGAGCCCAACCATCTAGGGACCAATGTATTCCTTGAGAGCAAGAATCTAACACAGAAAGCAGAAGCCCCTAAGAGATGTTAAAATAAAGGAAACAAAACCCTGCGGATGGAGTGGGAATTCCGGAAGGAGTCATCCTCACCCAGGGAGGCCAGGTTGCTGTAGTTCTCCAACATCACCTCCAGGTACAATTTCCGCTGAGCTGGGTCCAGGCATTCCCACTCCTCCTGAGAGAAATCTATGGCCACATCCCTGAATGTCAATGGTCCCTGAAAGAAGAGACACAGTTACCAAGAGGTGACCAGAAGAGTTCATGATGTCACCCAACATGAAAACAGTGTTAGTAGAAGAGGTTTGGAACTACACTAGTATCCTGAATCATCCAATAAGATCACTTTGCCCCAGTAACATTCTCTGATTTGTTTTTTCAACACTGACAAATGAGGATGACATATGTCCACACATCCACGGTACAGATTTTACTTTACAGGGAAAAAAACTTTAAAATTACTCAGTTTAGCCGAAACCGGTTTGGCTCAGTGGATAGAGCGTCGGCCTGTGGACTGAAAGGTCCCAGGTTCGATTCCGGTCAAGGGCATGTACCTGGGTTGCAGGCACATCCCCGGTAGGAGATGTGCAGGAAGCAGCTGATGGATGTTTCTCTCTCATCGATGTTTCTAACTCTCTCTATCTCTCTCCCTTCCTCTCTGTGAAAAGTCAATAAAATATATTAAAAAAAATAAAAAATAAAATTACTCAGTTTGGCTCAGTAGATAAGAGTGTTGGCCTGCAGACTTAAGAGTTGCAGGTTCAATTCCAGTCAAGGAAACATGACTGGGTTGCGTGCTCCATTCCCAGTAGGGGTGTCCAGGAGGCAGCTGATCAATGATTCTCTGTCATCAATGATGCTTCTATCTTTCTCTCTCTCTCTCCTTTCCTTTCTGAAATCAATAAAAATATACTAAAAATAAATAAATAAATAAAATTAAGGCATGGATACAGGCATATGGATTTCTGAGTGCTGTATATGCATCATTCAGGGTCACTGGGGTATATTTCTCAGATGGAAATATCATGCTGGGTTGGAAGTATATGGACTTCTTCTCAAGTATGAAGAAGACCACAACAAAATGAACTTCTGTAAAGACGCAGATTCTGATCCAGGTACTTAGATGGGGTCTGTGTTTCCACATGTGTCACAAGCTCACTTTTGACTTGTGATGTCAATGTTTCTGCATCGTATCTCATACTTCTGAATACACAGAAAAAGAAAACACAAGAAACAATTCATATAGAACTTTGAACTGAAAAGCTTTAATGGAATTCAGTTCTCATGGAATAGGACACAAAGGAACCACAATCCTAGTTGGAAATTTACTGAGTTATCTTAGAACAAGATTATTCTATCTGGTCCAGCTGGTGTGGCCCAGTGGTTGAGGGCTGACCCATGGACAAAGATGTGACTGGTTTCATATCCGGTTTGGACACAGGACCAAATTGTGGGCTGAATCCCCAGTGTGGGGTGTGCAGGAGGCAGCCAGTCCATGATTCTCTCTCATCATTGATGTTTCTCTCTCTCTCTACCTCTCCCTTCCTCTCTTGTTGCAGAAGATCGGAGAAAAACCAAGCCACGCTTAGAGAAAGGGAGTTACATTTTATTATTAAATTCTGTGCAGGCCCAGGGAAAAATGTGTCTTTCAAATTCTGGGCCCCCAAATGGAGGAAACTCTCTTTATTTATACTTTTTTCCAGTCCTTTATCTCCCAAATTTGGAATGAGATTTCCGGGCCTTCTGAGAAAGAAGGGCTGTGAGCTGGGAAGGGGCCATGAGACCATATATCAAGGCCTGGTCTGGTGTCAGCACTGACAACTCCGTCTGGGGCATAGTTTACGGCCTCTCTGGAATGGGAGTTGTCTTATTTTCCTTATTATTTAAGCAAGCAAGCATTTACAGAAGCCATACTATCAGGGTTAAAATTTCAAACAGCAGTTTTTATATAAGATGGAGGCTTCACTCTGAAATCCATAAAAATATACTTGGGGGGAAAAAAAGAAAAAATAGCTGAAATAATGTTAAGAGTTTAAGCACAGAGACACACATTTTACAACTATGAAATCAAGATGGTTTAGTGATTCTATAAATCTCAAGAATCTATATGTGTAAGATCCCTGTGTGTTGTATAAACACAATAAGGAGAGAAACATAAGGATACAAAACAAGTTAGACCTATTGTTTCCTTTGTGAGGTTGTAAATCCTCACCTAGGGAGATTTTTTCCACTGACTTTTAGACAGTGTAAGGCAAGGAAGTAGAGGCAGAAAAGGGAGAGAGGAAGAGGGAGAGGGAAAGGAGAGGGAGATGGAGAGGGAGACAGAGGTCAATGTGAAAGAGACAGAGAGACACATGGATTGGCTGCCTACCACAGGTACACAGGAGCTACTAGCCCCGGACCAGAATTCAAACCCTCCACCACTGATCCACATACAGCCTGGGGGAACTAATTATTCTTACTAGTACATTTGTTTCAAAATTTTTATGTATCATTAGTGGAGAGCTATGTTGTAGAAATTTAATGTAACTGAACATACATGAATAATATCATTCTTAGAAACTTTCTAGAAAATACAAAAAGTGACCATGTAGGGTATGTCCGTGATGAGAGTATAGAATATAATGAAAATTTAAAGAATCAAGTCCTGGTTGTTTAAAGGTCCCATGAAAAAGCCAATGATCTGTAGGAAAGAAAAGTAAGTCCTTCATTTTCAAAAGCAAACACAAACTAAGAAGAGGGACATTTCCCGATGTGAAATGATGGTCTTTGCACAACTTTCATTAAATCGCTACTACATCCTTGTTCCTGAGAAAGGGAGACTATTAACTCTACAGTGAGGGGAGCACCTCTGCCACGTGAACATCAGGTGGACTGAGACAATGGGCATCAGGTGACGGAGGCACACGGAAGGTCAGGTCACCACTGCTGTGACATTACTGAGAAAAATACAGCAATAAATATGTGGAAATGATCACAAATAAATTTTGCAGTGTCAATACACAGGCACCTCTCATGTTCTGTAAGCTAATAGTACATTTAACTACCAAGTCTTTGTACTAATGAGCAAGTCTCTTCTATTTATTATTTATTCTTCTTTCAGAACTTGTTGAGCAATTCTGAGCAGTCAAATGTGCATTTTCTTTTTCTTTTTTTTTTAAATATATTTTATTGATTTTTTACAGAAAGGAAGGGAGAGAGATAGAGAGTTAGAAACATCGATGAGAGAGAAACATCGACCAGCTGCCTCCTGCACATCTCCCACTGGAGATGTGCCCGCAACCCAGGTACATGCCCTTGACCGGAATCGAACCTGGGACCTTTCAGTCCGCAGGCCGACGCTCTATCCACTGAGCCAAACCGGTTTCGGCAAATGTGCATTTTCTTACCCCTGATTAAGAGCTGATGCTGTAGCCACTTGAACCTAAAACCTACATTTCCCTTCTTCAAGACACTAGAGCCTCTGACCCCATCCCAACAGGGATGTTATATATGGCTGCCTTCCCAGGTGGATCTGTCACAAAAGGGATGTTCTGAGGAGTTGCAAGTAATTAATTAAAGGAGGGAATGCTTCCTGATCTTGTGGAGGCTGCATAAAATGAAGGCAGAGAAGGCTCTGGGACAAAGGAGAGAAATATAGCCCTGGCAGTGAGGCTCAGAGAGTAAATGTTGACCTCTAAACCAGGAGGGTAGGGTTCCATTCCTGGTCAGGGCACACATCAGGTTTCAGACTAGATACCCAGGGGGGGAACGCAGTAGGCAGCTGACTAACGATTCTCTCTGCTCTCTATCCCTATCCCTTACATTCTGAAATCAATAAAAACATACATTAAAAAAGAGAGAAATACAGAAATATAGAAACTGCTGACACTGACTATCATAAGAAAAAAGGAAAGAAATAAGGAAAGGAAAAAAACCTGGAAAGGCAAGAAAATCAAAAGGAGAGAAATATGGAGACGAGGAAAGAGCCCCAGAGAGATGAAGGGGACTGAGAGGGAGAGGGGTCGTGGTGAACAGAAGTGGGGGCAAGAAAGGGGAGGCACTTCAGGGAGAGAAACTGGTTCAAGGTGAAGAATTGGGGGAGGGAGTGCAGGGACAGAATGGGGGGTTTAGGGATGACGGAGCAGAGGGAGAAGCAGCACTGAGTCAGCCAGCTGTGGGTAACAGGACAGACTGTAAGAAAGGCAGCAGAGGGGACACAGGTGTGGGAAGGGAAAGAGAAATATATACACAGATGTTCAAAGAAAAGCAAACCGCCTCTTACCAAGGACACATCTTTTACCTGAGAAGCAGCCATGTGGTCCTGGTCCTGATCCGGGTCCGGGTTGTTTCCTCAGGTGACACTATGTTGAGGAGTCACAGCCTGTTAATCAGCTCCCCTCACATTCACAATCAGAAGGACCTGGAAATGAGGAAAAGGCTACCCCTCCTGTCCTCGGTCACAGGAGAGAGTCAGGAACAATGAGCTCCTACATGGAGACCACACTGTGAGGGTTTTTATTGTCTTCATGTTTCTGTCCTTCCCAAACTTCCACAAACTCCGACAGCAATGAGAGTATGTGCTGTTCGCTTGTATCCTCAAACCCAACACAATAGCCCTTATCTCCCCTGAAGAAGCCTGCAATGGGGGCCATGACATGGCATCTTTAACTAGTTCCCTCCTGGGGTCTCCCAGGCTGCCCCAGAGCTGTTTTCAGGGGCGCTGGGTACCAGACACCAGACCCAGCAGCCCTGAGACCTCTGGGTAGTGGGAGGGGGTGAAGCAGGAAGTTCTACACATGCAGGTTTCCCAGGCAGATTTCCTTTCCTCTAGTCCCAGGAAACTAAGGAGAATAGATCTTCATGCTAAAGCCTATTTCTCCACTTCCTTCCTCCTCAGGCTACTTTCCCGAGTGACCCCCTCACTCCTACCGTCGCCGTCCAGTCCCCCCCACACCCCCTATGGGCCCCTCTCTGTGGACCCCTCGCTGCCCTTCCTCCCGCCCACGTGTCTGTCTCTCACTCCCTCTCCTGACCCCCCAGCCTGGGCCCCCGCCCCCCGCAGTCACCGCGCCCACAAAGCCCCTCCCTGCGGGCAGGTCGCCTCTTCAGGGGACACCGCGTCCTTCCCCTGAGCCCCCCATGGACACTGTGCTCCCCGGGCAGGCAGACCCCTTATTAAATGGGGGTGGGCCTAGGAGGGGGGTGCAGACCCCCAGGCCGGGAGCCATCTGGGCTCTT